ACCGTCGCTAGATTAGCGGGACCACCACCCATAAGTAGAGGACCTCACTCCCCGATCAGGTACGATGATTTCTGGCTTCGAACTAAACTTGGAATCCGACCTATACTGACTTGATCGTCGGAGTGCTCACCTTTTTGTGCAGGTCCGCCCAAGTGTTTAGGTCGGTCCGGAGGCCGAGTTCGAGCTACAATCAGGAACACACTGTTGTGCACATCTTTGCATAAACAAAACTTATTTTTGTTGTTTCCAAAATTTCTATATAACTTTGAGATTGTTTCTAAAAAATGAGAAACAAGAAACATGAATATTTGCCAAATGCTTAGATTTCGTAATAAAATTAGAAACAAGAAATGACACTAATGATTAAGAATATGCCAAGATCACCTTTACATGATGTTTTACCTGAATTCTTGTCACTCCTTGGGATTTGTACTCGTGGAGAAAATGTACCGGGAAAACACAGGTGAACACCTTGAAAATCAAGTTAGTCTCAATCCAAAGTATTTGGTCTCATGTCGAGCCACCAAATTCGTGTGTATCTTTGAATGGAGCTCACCTCTGATATTTATAAGTGACTGGAAATGTGAATTGTTGTTTGCCACTCTACACGTCCCATAAATTTCAATGGTTCAACGGTTGTGGTAAATGGGGAGTTAGATGATTGTGTAGCAGTTAAAGTGCAATGGTCGTCTTGAGTTCGAGCTCCCTTTTGATTAGACTCTTTGGTCGGATCTTAAGAGTGTATCATTAGATCGGACGCGATGATTTCAAAGTGTTATACTTTGAACCTCACGTAATCCTTCTCCGAACACATAACATGTTATATGTACACTTTGAACCTCACACAATCCTTCTCCGAACACGCATAACATGTTATACATCCTCTAACATACGAGAATCCGTCTCCGGACACACATAACATGTTATACGTCCTCTAACATACGAGAAGAGGAGACATTTTTCTCAACGTAAAGTATTCTTAAATTATACCAGTTGTATAAGGTGAAAAATATCAATTCAAGAATCTACGTCTCTTCAGTAGAAGTTCCACAAAGGAAAAAAAAAAGGAAAAAATGAAAAAAAGAAAAGAAAGGACTCCTTGGATAAACTCAAGAGCTAAAGATGGTTAGCCACTTAGATATGCTTAAGAGATACTTATAAGATGAGGTACAAATATTTAACCCGCTTTGCAAGTGACATCACTTTTTAATAGGTACAAAAATAATTTATTGGGTGTTTTGTAAGTAAAAAAATACTTTAATCATGAACACAAATGTTTAATAACAAATTATTTTAATATTATCTACACTCTTACAAATATTCTAAATTCTACCAGAATTGTTTTACAAAATATTTTAAGTTAATTAGACTTTTTTCAAAATTACATGTTTACTCATAGATAGAGCATAAGACATTTAGTAACTTCARTTGATTATTGATCATTACATCTCATTTGAATGGTAATACACTAAAAAAAATCAAACCTCCAGAAGATGGCGTAGTGGTAAAAATATAGGATCTTATAATAGTACCTAGGAGAACTTGCGTTGGAGCCACACGACATCGATTTAGATAAGAAAAAAAATTCTCAAAAATACATATCTTGTAATTAAAAAGGTAAAAAGAGTAATGGGAAGTGAAAAATATAATGTGAGATAGAAAAATTGCCTCCCCTAAAGCTAGTGGTGGGTTTGACTATTTTTAAATGGAATTGTCGGCTGCCTTTGAATTTTTTTTTTAAGAAAAAAAAAAGTATCCAAGTTAATTAACTTAACCCCAGATCACATGGGTGAAAGGGAATGAATGGGAATTGGGATATAGGTGGCTTTAACCAAAGTTTTTGTTTGTTTGTGGGGGCAGATCATAACTCACATGTTCCACTAATCCAAGCTTTTAACCTTATTCCAAAATTCAATTATTTCATTCCACACCTCTCCCAATTAAATATGTTTGAGGGTTTTAGGCTTTGAATCTATTATTTTTGTTATGTGATATTATTAGTAAACTACTACCCTACTCGGTTCAAGATGACTTTTGAAGATAGTTTTTAAAACAAAATATTTTTTCTGATATTAATATTCATGGGATTCCATCTGAAAATCAATTGGTAATGAGAAGAGTAGTCCGTGTTTATTATAAACCATTGTAAAGTTCATTTTCTTTCCAATATGAGATCCTTAACATGCCCCTTCAAGATTGTTGCTCTTTTGACTTAAGATTCATGAGGTTCCATCTGAACAATATTATTAGGAGTGAGTTTGAGACGAGTTTATATATATAGCTTTAGATAAAAGAATTTATCAAATAATTGATTAAATACTTCACTATTCTTAAGTTGGTAAATCAATAATATAGTTAATCGATTTTGTAGATTGATTATAGTAAATGGTGTTGGAGGGGAAAATATGACCTGCCACGTGGAGAACTAGAAAATATCGATATGCTAGATTTTTTTATCATAATCTCGAAAACATGTAGTGGCTGACCTTTGAAGCTCAACCAACGATGACCTGATAGCTCAATCATATCCTTGTTGATTGAAGGAAACACTATGCACCGAAGGAAACCAGCTAACTGATTTGTCAATGACCTAACAAAATGATTACATGAGCTCTACCACTTGACACCCTATAAATAGGAATTGAATGTCATTGCGACTCCAAGTATGCAATATGATGTCTTGGCTTGAGACTTAAGATCGACCTTACTGACCTGAGTGTTGAAATGTTTGTTTTTTTTTTGCAGGATTTTCCTCACTAAGCTCCACTAGTAAAAATTCAGTTTCTCGTGACGTTTTTGACACCGTTACCTATACGCCAATCACGAAAAGTATACATGACGTTTAAAAAACGTCATGAAAATTAGCACGCGTGACGCTTAAAGACTGTCATGCAAAATATAGGCTTCCGCGACGTTTTTTAAACGTCATGAAAAATGATTTTGTGACGTTTTAAGACCGTCACGATTAAGACTTTTCATGACGTTTAAAAAACGTCACCGTAAATGAGTAATCGTGACGGCATTTGATTTTGTGACTGTTATAAAACGTCACGGAAAGACTTTAAGTAGCGAGAAAAGGTCATGTGACGTCATTTTGTGATGTTTTTTAAACGTCACCAAAAAAAATTTCATGACGTTTAAAAATTGTCACAAAACACTTTTGTGACTATTTAAAACCGTCACAAATTATTTTATTTTGTGATGATAAAAAAAATCATAGAAAATGTATTTGATTTTGCTTGCAGATGTCGCGTAATATTTAAATATCATATAATTAAATTGTCGATCGAAATCGCAAATACATTAATTTAGATAACAAAGTTGAAATATAGTAGGAACAAAGTATTCTCGAAATATTCTCGGACTTGCTAGTACATTATAGTAAACATGTTCAAATTCCTACAAACATAAATTATAGAATTAAACAAGTCTTACATACCAACCCCAACAAGAAAGCTCATCCATCAATTAGTTGCATCCCTAATTGTCGACTTCTTTGGCTTCGTGAAAGACCTAATGGAAAAAACAATACCCAAGTTAGATAAATGAATAACCAAAGATAAATAAGGGAAGAAAGTCACTTCTAAAGAACGAGTCTATCTATTAAATGTAACTTAAAATTGAATAATAAATGTTAAGACAGTCATGTAATTGCTGTCAATCTCCCAAATTTCTCTTTATTATTCTCATTATTATTTTTGCCTTTTCTTAACCTTTTCCTTTATGGTTTACTCACTAGTATAGAAAGAAATCATGTACAAATGGCACAGAATATTTGCCTTATTTATTTTCCTGTATATATTGGTACTCAATGGAA